TACAGTGTTCTTCCTTGGCTTTATGAAAAAGATGGGTGGACTATTTGCTATGACTGACCTTAAACAATCTTTTCTTTTTTTTTTTTTATTTATTATGTATACAATATTCTGTCTGTGTGTATGTCTGCAGGCCAGAAGAGGGCACCAGACCCCATTACAGATGGTTGTGAGCCACCATGTGGTTGCTGGGAATTGAACTCAGGACCTTTTGGAAGAGCAGGCAATGCTCTTAACCACTGAGCCATCTCTCCAGCCCCCTTAAACAATCTTTTCAAGGACACCTTATCAATTTCATAAATTCTAGTATCCTTCCTAGCTATGAAACATAATATAACACACACTCAGCAAATCTGTATATTAAAGCTTCACGTGAAGAGACAGGTGGTGGTGGCACACACCTTTAACCCCAGCACTCAGGAGGAAGAGGCAGGCGGGGCTATAGAGAATCCCTGTCAAAAAACCAGGCCCAGCTAGGTGCACGCCTTTAATCCCAGCACTCGGGAGGCAGAGGCAAGTGGATCTCCATGACTTCGAGGCCAGTCTGGTCTACAAGAGCTAGTTTCAGGATAGGCTCCAAGCCAGAGAAACCCTGTCTCAAAAAAACCAAGACCCCCCACCAAAAAAAAAAAAATTTTAATGTAGATTTCCAGCCCCTAGAATTGTCTGCAATGTGCTGCTATGGAATAAGCAGAGGAGACAAATTTTTTAAAGATCAATAGTTGGGAGAATGACATGGCATAGTGGAAAGGGAATGTATTTAGCATGTTCAAAGCTCTGGGTTCAGTTAGCCTCCAGTACTCAATCAAAAAAATAAAGAAAAGAACTGCGCTTCACGTAACTCAAAGAATGTCTAAGACTTCTTCCTCTATGTTTTATTTGTGTTTAGAAAGACTCTATGTAGACCAGGCTGGCCTTCATCTCACAATATCTGACTGTGCCACCATGCTCAGCCTGACTTGTTTTTTGTTTTTGAGATAGGGTCTCACCAAGGGGCCGAAGTTGATGCTGTACTAACCACCCTCCAACTTAGCATCTTTGTTTATTTTTTGTTTGTTTGTTTTTTGAGACAGGGTTTCTCTGTGTAGTCCTGGCTATCCTGGGACTCGTTCTATAGACCAGACTGGTCTTGAACTCACAGAGATACATTTACCTGCCTCCCAAATGCTGGTATTAAAAATGCACGCTACCACCGCCCAGCTGTTTCTTTTATTTTTGACACAGGGTCTCACTATGTAGCTCTTGCTACACTACGTAGACCAGGCTGGTCTCAAACTTAGAGAGCTGTGTGTCTCATAATACTGAGTTCCGTGATTAAAGGCACATGTCACCACGCCAACCTTTTTTTTTTTTTTTTTTTTGAGACAGGGGCTCACTATTTTGACCAGGTTGGCTTCCCTGGTCTCAAAGACAAAGATCCACCTGCCTCTGCTTCCCAAGTGTTGTGTCCTATAGCAAAGAACCTTTACCTTTAATCCCTTATTTCAATGGGTAAATTTTAAAAACAAACAAACAAACAAACAAGTCTACAGCCAGGTGCAATGGCAAGCATCTTTAATCCTAGCATTTGGGAGGCAGAAGCAGGCGGATCTTTGTAAATTCCAGATGAGCCAAGGCGACATAATGAGACCTTGTCTCAAGAAAACACGATACACTTTGTTCAAAATAAACCTACAGACCTAAGAGGGCTAATATTTACAGAGCTGCTAACAAGAACAGTGTAGGTTTTTCCACAAATGGAAAGGGGGTTGAGCTCCTGGTAGACTAAACATAGGCACAGTTGTCACTGTGGGTGTTCTGACAGCCCAGGTGTAAAGTTGTCACCAGAAATGAGTATGTGGCTTCAAGTGGCTAACAGAATGCAACAAATTTATAGCTTTTACTGTATACAAGCCAACTCTTCTCACAATGACCCAGGTTCCTTTTTAGTGAAGTACCCAAGGGCAGGTGTTGAATCCCGTGGAGCTGGAGTGGTTGTAAGTCATCTGACCTCAGATCCTTTACAAGAGCATCAAATGTTTTAAAATGCTTAACCATCTCAAGACCCTACACTTCTACCAGTACAATGAGTTAAAGTCATCTTCTATATGCAAGGAAAGAAAGTAAAGGTTCATGTCTAAGAAAAAAGATGATTGTTCAAAGGTCATGAATAACAATGTGTAACAGTTATACTGTATAAAATGACAGCTACATTGTTTTAAACTCAATAGAGTGTAGCACTGGCAGAATTTTGAGAAAAGTGAATGTATATAAAAATTATCAAAAGGGCTAGGTGGTGGTAGCACATGCCTTTAATCCCAGCACTTGAGAGGCAGAGGCAGACAGATTTCTGTGAGTTCAAGGCCAGCCTGGTCTACAGAGCGAGTTCCAGGACAGGCTTCAAAAGCTACAGAGAAACCTCAAAACAAAAAATACCAACACTGGGCATAGTGGTTTATGTCATTATTTCCAGCACACCAGCACAAGTTTGAGGCCAGCCTGATCTACAGAGAGTTCCCGGGCATCCAGGACTGTTCACACACACACACACCCAGGACTGTTACACAGACAAAGTAAAGAGAAAAGAGAAAAAAAAAAATGTCAGGAAGGAGCTCATATCTGGTAAAAAAAAAAAAAATTAAAAAAATAAAGAGTTATCCAAGGAAGGGCTACCTCTCCAGCCCCTTTATTTTAACTTCTTTTTTTAAAATTTATTTATTTATTATTATGTATACAACATTCTGCCTTCATGTGTGCTTACATACCAGAAGAGGGTGACAGAGCTCATTACAGATGGTTGTGAGCCACCATGTAGTTGCTGGGAATTGAACTCAGGACCTCTGGAAGAGCAGGCAGTGCTCTTAACCTCTGAGCCATTTCTCCAGCCCTTTTAATTTCTTTAGCAAGCCATACAAACACAAGATGTAATCAATCCTGTTCATTTATGAGACATGGTCTAACTGTATAGCCCTTGCAGGTCTGAAATTCACAAAGTGGACAAGGCTAATCTTGAATTCAAAAATCAGCCTCCGCTGCCACCACAGGTGGCAGAATCCTATGTTTACACTCCAAAAGATAGTAAAAACTTTAGGAAAGTTTTCCTTTTTAGCCCAAGGCTAATCTATGCAAGAGGAAAAACAGGATTGGGATCCACCTATTAAAGAATAATCCCTAAGACCTCACCTCTTCCACACTGTTAACTATCAACCTGCTAAAATATCTGAAAATAAGTTCTAGAGCGAGACTTTATTTTTCACTTTTGGTACTGTTTTAAAACTGAAACATTAAAAACAAACAAACAAAAGCAGAGCAACAGCGGTGCTCACCTCTTGTCCGAGCACCGGGGAGGCAGAGGCAGGGGTGGTCTGAGTTCAAGGCCAGTATGGCCTACTCCACACAAAGCAAGTTCCAGGACAGGCACAGAGAAACCTTATCTGAGCCCGGTTGCTTCCCAGACCTAAACCATATGGAGATGGATGCCGGAGAAGGCTATCACTTTGGAGTTGAACTCTGCAGCTGCATTATTAGCATAAGTAGGTAACCAGTTAAGATTGTACAAAATTGGAAAGTATTTTCATTTCCCTTCTTGCTTTTTTTTTTTTTTAAGGGTTTTCAAGACAGAATCTCACTATGTAGTTCTGACTGTCCTGGAATTTACTCTGTAGACCAAAGCTGGCCTGAAGCTCACAGAGATCTGCCTGCTTCTGTCTCTCAAGTGCTGGAATTAAAGGTGTTCAAACTAAGCTTGGCTGAAAAGCATTTTTTTTAAAATAACAAGTTTACCTCAAAAGTTATTCATCATGTTGTTTTGGTTTTTGGAGACAGGGTTTCTCTGTAATTTTAGAGCCTGTCCTGGAACTAGGCTCTTGTAGACCAGGCTGGCCTCGAACTCACAGAAATCTGCCTGCCTCTTCCTCCTGAGTGCTGGGATTAAGCCAGGTATTTTAATATTTCCCCTTGACTCAAAATAAATCAACAGAGAGCCAGTAAATGAGAATCACAGATCCTCTGGGAAGTATGAGCACTGTCAACACCCTAGAGACCGAAGACAGGGGAGCCTTCTGTCACCAATATCCTAAATATTTCCCAACTAAAGCAGCAGGACATCATCAAGTGAACAGCAGAGAGAGGGGCTTAGGAGACCTTGAATGTTAAAAGATCATTAGGAGAAGAAAATGTTCCTCAGAACTGAATGGTGGTGGCAGTGGACACCTTCAATCCCAGCTCTCAGGAGACTGAAGCAGGCAGATGTCCGTGAGCATAGTCTACAAAGTGAGTTCCAGCAAGGCCACTGAGGTTACATAGAGACACCCTGTCTCAAGAAACTTCAAATAGACGGGTGGTGGTGGTTCACACCTTTAATCTCAGCACTCGGGAGGCAGAGGCAGGTGGATCTCTGTGAGTTCAAGGCCAGGCTGGTTTACAGAGCGAGTTCCAGAGAAACCCTGTCTCGAAAAACCAAAAAAAAAAAAAGCCACCGAAGAGACTCCGATTAAAGAATTAGAGACATGGCTGGTGTTGAGAAATCAATGACTGGAAACAAAAAAAAGGGTCCATTTTTTATTAATCTTTTCATTATTTCCTCAAATATCAGACATACAACAGGCCTCTACACCACTGTGTCCATAAAAGCAACACGCTTTGATTTGCAGCCCTCAAAAACCTTCTCTGTGGCCATAGAAATACAGATGTGTCCCTCCTAGTGTTAAGTCTTATTTTTAATGCTGTCTATTACAGTACTTACGTAGCCATTTCACGCATAAATTATAAACATCCCACTTTAAAAGTTTTCAAAAACCAAAGCCTCCCCTCTAAGTTCTTCAAAATATCAAGTGAAGAGTGGGACGTACTGAAAAGAGCAAGGAAAATGACAAACTAGAGGGGCACAAGGAAACATATGCTTTTGTTAAGGTGATTTATGGAATGAATGCCTCCATTATGGGAGTCACTGTAGATGAAATATGCACCCCCATAACTCCATCCAGGGGTAAGAGCGCTCTCTTCCATGGAGACAGTCCACATACCGGCTGCAGGGTTGGTCCATGGATTAAACCTGCAGACTCCCGCGCTCTCCATTGGACTCCAGACTCTGCCTGTTGGAGAAGGCCGGCCTAACGCGCGCTCAGGGCTCATAGGCTCAGAGAGACGCAACTCAGGCGGGAAAAACCCGCCTCCGACATTCCAATGCACAAGAGCCGCTCCGTAGGGAGCTAGCAAAGACCCGATTGGCCTCGACACTCGCCCGTCTAACGCTTCGGTGGTGCAGCTCGAAAGAAGCCGCAAGGATTAAAACATCCCGCCCCCAGTCCTCCGATTGGCTGGCCCGACCCTCCGCAGCCCCTTCCCTGTCGCCCCCCCAACCCGCCCCAGGCCAGCGATCCAATTCATTTCATACATAACGAGTGCAACTGGAGCGGGCCCAAGAGCTCGTACGTGTAATCGAGACTCTCTGGCACTTACCCGGGATCTACAGTGATCACTCACACTAAGGCCTGCACGGTTCCTCTATGGGAAAGCTGCACCACAAGCCACCGCTACCGCCGCCTTCTGCGCAACGCCAACCGCCCGCCAAAACGGAGCCCTCCCTGCGCCTGCGCAACCAGTCCTTTTTTTTTTTTTTTCTCCGCCCAAGACGCCTGCGCAAAACAGGGACGCTTCTCCCGCCACTACGCAGGCGCCTCAGGTTCACAACGCTCTCCCGCCCGCCATTTCACGTGTTCCAGTAGGCAAGCGGAACTTCTCAGTGCGCCGGCGGAAACTCGCCATTTTATTACACATGCGCTCTATGGATGGTGACCAAAAAAGCGGTAGCAAACTACTTTATTAACGTATCGTGTTTTGCCAATTGAGTTTGTAATGTTAAGTCGCTGGGAAGTTATAGAAAACATTTAAAGACCTGGGCACCTTCAAATATAGATGCTAGCCAATCGCTGTGGTTAAAAATGAGATCCTGGGGGCATGACTCCGAGGGGCGGAGACTGCGGAGAACGTCGAAACGGATGCAGTCTCCTAGCAGGGCGGTCACACAGGCCAATAGTGGGAGGGAATAATTTCAAATGTCCAATCAAAGAGAGGCAAGGGCGGAGTCTACCAATGCCGAAAGCGAGGAGGCGGGATAAAAAGGAGAGCAGAAGGTAGGCTGGCGGATACGTTCGTTGGCTTACTCCTTTCTGCCTACTGACGCGGCCGAGGAAGCATCGCTGAAGGCTCTCATTTTCCTGCCGTCATGTCTAAGTCAGAGGTGAGCTGTGTACGCTCTGCAGCTTCGTTTTCTTCCATACTTAATGAATATGGTGGGATGTGACCTGTTTTTGTTGTTGGCACCTATTCTTTCGGTGTTTGACCGGTCGTTACCGAGGCCTACTCACAAAAGTGTAGGTCGCCATTTTGTCCTCGTAATCGCCATGAGGCTGCCGTCCGCTAATCACTAGCTTCCGCATGCTGTGCTTGTAGCAAAATTCATAGACCATAGATCTTGAGGGTTGTGGCTTTCTTTTTTTTCCTCCTTTTGGCTTTGTCTAATAAATGGCCATTAAGTTAACGGCCCCATGTCTTTTGTTGCGCGTGCGTACAGAGTAGGGACGCATGCGCTGCCTGCTAGTTCTCCAGCCGCACCTCCTGGCCCAGGGAGGAGCACGTGGTCCTGCGCAGTGATAAAGAACAATAAAAAAGTGCGGCCTGTGTTGATGCGTGGAGTCGATTCATTCGCCAAAGTTGTAATCCCTTCACTAACCGCTCTCCTTTCCTCACTTTAGTCTCCCAAGGAGCCGGAACAGCTGCGGAAGCTCTTCATTGGAGGGCTGAGCTTCGAAACAACCGACGAGAGTCTGAGGAGCCATTTTGAGCAATGGGGAACACTCACGGACTGCGTGGTAAGAATTGAATGAAGGGAAGGCAGAGCTGGTTTAACTTTAGTGTTCGTTCTTGCTGCATTTTCTAGATGCTTTGTTAATTACTTAGTTAGTGGTATAGTTTAAAAAAGCTTAGTTTGGGGCTTTTGTATTTGAGTCTAGATCGAGTTTTATGCTGGCTATTCAGAGTAGGAATGGCCCGAGATCAGGCAGTTATGTTGATTGTTGTTTGAATTAACTCCAAATCAGGTAATGAGAGATCCAAACACCAAACGATCCAGGGGCTTTGGGTTTGTTACGTACGCCACTGTGGAGGAAGTGGATGCCGCTATGAATGCAAGACCCCATAAGGTGGATGGAAGAGTTGTGGAACCTAAGAGAGCTGTGTCAAGAGAGGTGAGGTTTTTATTACTGATGATGCTCTCTTTACATTTCAAATGGGAACTGTATACTCCATAGACCTCAAAGCAGGGAGATTTTCCCCCTCTAGATTGCTGGGATTAAAAGTGTGGGCCACCACAGCTGCCAGTCATTTGGAGATTTGCAGCTGCTAATGGCTTAAGGCCGTTGGAATGTTCTAAATGGCTGAAGTAGTTTTTCTTTCCTCTTAGGATTCTCAGAGACCAGGTGCCCACTTAACCGTGAAAAAGATCTTTGTTGGTGGTATTAAAGAAGACACGGAAGAACATCACCTGAGAGATTACTTTGAGCAGTATGGGAAAATTGAAGTGATTGAAATCATGACTGACAGAGGCAGTGGAAAAAAGAGAGGTTTTGCTTTTGTCACCTTTGATGACCATGACTCTGTGGATAAGATTGTTAGTAAGTATCGAATTAGATCTTCCTAATGATTGTGGGAGTTGACTGTGTTTTGAGCCCTAAATTTTTTTCCTTTATTAAAGTTCAGAAATACCATACTGTGAACGGGCACAACTGTGAAGTAAGAAAAGCCCTATCCAAGCAGGAGATGGCTAGTGCCTCGTCCAGCCAAAGAGGTATGTCAGTTGCTTAGTTAAAATTTACAGGTGCTAAATGAGTTGCAAGTTTACTTAATATAGTGATCCAAACATCTCTTAAGGTCGAAGTGGTTCTGGAAACTTTGGTGGTGGCCGTGGAGGCGGTTTTGGCGGCAATGACAATTTTGGTCGAGGGGGAAACTTCAGTGGTCGTGGTATGTATATAATTATTTTTAATCCCCATACACGCACACAGGTTTACTCTGTAACCCAGGCTGATCACGAATTCCCAGATCCACCTGCCTCTGCCTCCTGGGTGCTGGGATTGAAGGCGTGTGCCGCTGCCGCCCTACTTATTTTTAATTTCTTAATTGCTTTTAGAGTGCAGAGTAGTTTAAGGGTTTGGTTTCTTTCAGGTGGCTTCGGTGGCAGCCGTGGTGGTGGTGGATATGGTGGCAGTGGGGACGGCTATAATGGATTCGGTAATGACGGTAAGTTTCTTAAGGATTCTGTAAGTAAAATTTTTTAGCAAGCTATACCTTTAGTCTAGGCTAGTAGAGACTAAACCTAGTGCATGACAAAGTTCAACCAGCCCCATAATATGCATGCTGTGAGCAGGCCATAACACTTGCATAGGTTTTATTGTTAAATACTTTTGTCTTATTGAGAAGGCTTGTATTCTTGTAGGTGGTTATGGAGGAGGCGGCCCTGGTTACTCTGGAGGAAGCAGAGGCTATGGAAGTGGTGGACAGGGTTATGGAAACCAGGGCAGTGGCTATGGCGGGAGTGGCAGCTATGACAGCTATAACAACGGAGGAGGCGGAGGCGGCTTTGGCGGTGGTAGTGGTAGGTATCCAGTGCTGCAAGTACTTGGTGTGATAGCTAGATTAGCCTTAGAGTTTATACCGGTGTTGGACTTCAAGCCTCTTAAAACATTGTGGGAACACTGCATGACGCATTAAAGTAGTAGGCTTGCTGTGCTACCTCCTCCTGGCTTTAAGCTGGGGCCGCCTCCCCAAAAAACTAAGTAGGTGGATGAGTGATTAGTGGTGTCTTTAATTTAAGATAATTAGATTAACACCATAGTTGGATTTAGTATCTAAATCCCTTTGGGACTTCAGGAATTTAGTTGATATATCCAAGAAATCTCCACATTGGCTATGAATACATGAAGGTCTCCAAGTCTAATGTGATGTAAGTACCACTAAGAAAATCTGTTTGCCAATAGTTAGGTTCCTTTAAATACTGGATTATTGACTGAATGCCATACTCAGAATGAACTATTAAGGGTTTGGAGTTAGCAGTTTTGGAAGAAGGAAGGACTCTAAATAGAAATGGCTCAGTCCTTGGGTCATCAATAAAGATCTTCTCATTTCCAGGAAGCAATTTTGGAGGTGGTGGAAGCTACAATGATTTTGGCAATTACAACAATCAGTCCTCAAATTTTGGACCAATGAAAGGAGGAAACTTTGGAGGCAGAAGCTCTGGCCCTTATGGTGGTGGAGGCCAGTACTTTGCTAAACCACGAAATCAAGGTATAGTATATATGATATGGCAACAGATGGGTAATTAAATTGGCCCTTCCCATCAAACAGGAGAAATCCTGTAAGCCTTATTGGACATTTTACCAGATCTTTACTGAGTTCATCTATGCTGTTATTGCAAGATCTTTGCTATTGCAACAATGTTGTTTTTACACTTCCAGGTGGCTATGGTGGTTCCAGCAGCAGCAGCAGCTATGGCAGTGGCAGGAGGTTCTAATCACAGCCAGGTAAGTGCCTGTTTTGTGTGTGCTGGCTTAATTTTATTGAGCCCAGTAGCCCTAATGTAGCTGCGCAGTGCAAATAGTTAACGTTAAAATTGCAGTAAAATGGTGGATGTTAATGTACAGTTCAGCAGAATTTGTGGGAAACAACTTGCTCTATTGGATTGTAGCCTTAAGTCTTAATATGTTTTAGATTAACAACTTTATTCCATATTGTTCAACAGGAAACAAAGCTTAGCAGGAGAGGAGAGCCAGAGAAGTGACAGGGAAGCTACAGGTTACAACAGATTTGTGAACTCAGCCAAGCACAGTGGTGGCAGGGCCTAGCTGCTACAAAGAAGACATGTTTTAGACAATACTCATGTGTATGGGCAAAAAAACTCCAGGACTGTATTTGTGACTAATTGTATAACAGGATATTTTAGTTTCTGTTCTGTGGAAAGTGTAAAGCATTCCAACAAAGGGTTTTACTGTAGACCTCTTTTCACCCATGCTGTTGATTGCTAAATGTAATAGTCTGATCATGACACTGAATAAATGTCTTTTTTTCTTTTTTTTTTTCTTTTTTTTCTTTTTTAAATGTGCTGTGTAAAGTTAGTCTACTCTGAAGCCATCTTGGTAAACTTCCCCAACAGTGTGAAGTTAGAATTCCTTTCAGGGTGGTGCCAAGTTCCATTTGGAATTTATTTATGATTGCTTGGGTGTGGAAGCCATTGTCTTCAAAAACCTTAGTGTGGTTAAACTGCCAGTTATTGTGACTTTGAGTTTCATTAAAAGGGTCATCATCCAAGCAAGGTTACAATTTGGTTATAAAATGGTTATTGGCACACCCTATGCAATATCAAAATTGAATAATGGTATCAGATAAAATAACAGATGGGAATGAAGCTTGTGTATCATCCGTTATCATGTGTAATCAATAAACGAATTTAATTCTCTTGAATGGAATGACAACTGTATGGATTTGAGACTGGCAGAGATTTGGACTTTCCCTACCCACAATACCCCTGGTAAATGTTGATTGTTTGTTATCACAGTGCGAGTTCAAAGCTCTGCCAGAGTAGAGACCAACTGATGGTTAAGGCCACAGATTAGAAGTGTTGGTGCATCATAAAACTGATTATAGTAAGGGCCTTAACTGCCTTAAGAGCAGGCTATGGTGAAGGAAAACTGCAGTTCAATTGGGTTGTGGGTGGGTGTACCTCAAGGTTTTCTTTGGGTAATTTAGTCACTAAAATTCAAACTAGAAATATATAATTGGTGATATTTCTGTGTATTTTTGTATTAACAGCAGTCTTCCTTCACACTGTTATCCTGAAATGTTTTCTATTTGTATAGAAAATGAATTCAAAACAGTTACTACCCAATAATTGTTATTTGTGCATAGATTATTTCGAGCTTCCCATTTGGTGCCCTTTTAAGTGCCATTGTACCTGGCAGCATAGATGATTTGTTTGCCATAGGACTTGTATATCACATCTCATGGTGTATTACTTGGAAGTTGGGGGAGGGGGGAGGGATGGGTGGGTGTGGGGAGCATGGGTGGTAGTTCCATGATATTGGTTGAGTTTGCAATAGCAGGTGGAACCTTAACTATTGAGGGAGTTTGCAGATACCTCAGGAATCGTGACAATGCCTTTAAAGATCCAGGAGATGTTCAGCTACTAGGAACTGCTAGCAAGTATAGCGCGAATGGCTTCGAGCTCAGAAAATCTACAGCTGAGAGTAGACACTTGTGGTATGTGGAGTACAGATAAGCCAGGGGCAGGCCACGGCACCTCCATGAAAGCTAGAAGGGAGTGAAGTTTCAGTGATCATCGCAAGGAAGGAGGCAGACGAGAGTAAGGCACACACCTGACTCTTAGGACTAGCAGGCAGAACCAGAAGGAAAGGTTTTATTGCTATGCTGGTAGGTAAGAACAGATTTTACTTACATCCATATAGTTGTAAAAGTCCAATTTTCTGATGGATTTTTCTTAATGTATTGAGCCAAACTAGTCCAGTTAAGCTGCACTTGGTTTTTCTGGAGATGAATTGTTTTAATTAATGCCCATATTACTCCTACTTGGAGGAAATGAACACATTTCTCTTGTAAAAATACATTTGGCCCTTTAATTTTATTTAACCTTCCTTTGACCCATTTTCTTAAAGCAATGGCTCAAAGTAATATTAGTCACTTTCCCCAAAATGGTGGGAGGATGGGTGGATCATTAAGGGGAGGGGGTGGGGAATAGCTTAAGGATGGGAATCGGCCTCACAAAAACTAGTTCTAAAGTTTGTTTACTTTTCTAGGAAGGAATCTGCTACAAGGTTTAACCACTGTTGTAAAATTTTTAGAAAGACTTCACAAGTTCCTGCCTAAAAGGTAGGTTTTTATGGTTGGTGATTTTATTACCTGAAAGTTATGTCAAGCTGCAGTTAAAAACCAAGAGATACCTGGTTACTTTTGTGGCTGGCAGTTATTAGGCCAACAGGGGGTGGGTGTATAATTGTAGAATCCAGCACTGTTTTTGTTAAGCTACATAACATCTCCTCCTCCTTTACAGGAACAGCCTTAAGAAAACAGCCTTTACTCTGGGCCACTATGCTTCATTTTCACTGCCGTGCAGTTGGGATTTTAACTATGCTGCTAATCATTCAGTTTTGTGAATGCCTCTGGTTTTTAAATAAAGAGCAGTTAATTAACTTGGTACTGTTTGTTGTTTCCCTTTGGCATTTATGGCGGGTGGCTTGAATTTTTAGCAGGACAGGTCTGAATCATTTCTAACTCAGGTTTCTTTGGCCCTTAAGTTACATTTTGAATGCATGTGTATTGATGCTTTACAAGTTCATGTATGAGGGGGAGTAGACTGATCACAGAGTGTCCCTGAGAACCTAGCAAGAATAAATTGACCATCTCTACTTGTGTGGGGTGGGGAGTTCCGAGGTAAGAAACCTAAAGCTTGAAGGGAAATAAAGAGATACTGGTTATGCTCAGTGGTAAATGTAGAAGTTGTTTTGAGTTTAGGAATTGGGTTTAGGGTTCTAGGGGCAACTGGGTTGGGTAGTGTGCACTATAATCCCAATTTAGGAATATTGAGGCAGCAGTTTATGTGCAGCCAGAGATCCTTAAAGGATTAGAGTGTCCCTGGCTGGCCTGAATCATTCATATAATCATACATGCAGATAATTCCATATGGATACATGTAGAGATTTATGGCAGCCCTTTATCTCTTAGTATTGGGAGTAAGCCTGGGCCACTGTTCTCATACTGCTTTTTGTGAGCTTCCATAGAAAGTATTGCTAGGCCAAAAGTTGACACAAAAATCCCAGATTAGAGACCGCATTTTAAGGTCTACAAACATGAAGGTTTCTGTATCCTTTATCACTTGGGTCTCATTCTGTTTTTCCTCTTTGGAGAGAGGCAGTAAAATCCTCCAAGTACAATCCCAATAATGTGATTGGGAAAACAGCCAAAGAAACTGTGCTTTTAGATTTGATAGGCATCCATCTGCCTGCCTCTGCCATTCTAGTGCTGGGATTAAAGGTGTGTCCCTAGTACCCAGCTTTGTTGTCTTAAGACAATATCTTTGGCAGGCCCAGAATCTCCCCCTGCCTTTATCCTGAGAGCACAGTTTTTCCAAATGAAAGAAAAAAGATAGGGCGGATCTTGAGTTGGAGATGTCATGTAGCACGCCAACAGCTCATGAGGTCTGTGTAAGAGTTAACCCTATACAGGGCAGGCTTCAGTTCCCAGCACTCTAAATTCTGCTGACCTCCATAAGTTTCTGCTTGAATACAGTACATACATCCAATCATATACAGTGTTTTAAAAGGGAGTGGGCTGGGTGTGGTGGTACACAATCTCAGCACTTTGGAGACAGGCAAATGAAACTTAGGTCACCATCCTGGTCTACATAATGAGACCCTGTTTCAAATCTAGAAGGGTGGAGACCATAGCCCCTGGCATGAGTTGGGTAGCTTTTGTCTCAACCAGGGATAACCTGCCTAGCGTTCTGGAGGCTCGGTGCACAACCTTTAAAAGGCTGTACAGGAGTACACACTTGACTGGAATATCTAATCTCATTCCAGTCAAGAACAAGTCAGTCCCCTTGGTCTTTGAGAGATCCCTGGCCCATCAGACCCAGGATGATAGGTAAGCAGGAGAAAAGTAGGGATTTGTGTTTGTATTTATACTCCAGAGACTGGGAGCAGACTTTACACAGAAGATAGCAGCCCTGTTTGATAGCTCTTGTCATTTGTAAACTGGAGGCCACCAAGGACTGTGGAGTTCCTTAAAGCATCCATGGCTTCTGGTTGGAGGTGTGAATGAGGGTGGATAGATTGTCCCATGGCTCATGTCCACATTCTTGTGCTTCAAATGAGCTCAGGATTCCTTAATAGCTCTGGCAGCCTCAAGAAAGACACAATGAAAACCTTATTTCCACACAGCTCTTTTATGGTATGGACCAAAGCTAAGACAAGAAGTAGAGGCTTGGGACTTGGGAAGCCAACACTCACCTGACTTCCAAGTAAACCTCACCAAACATACCTTGGAACCTCCAAATGCTAATGTTAACACCTGCCCTCTTTTGGTCTGGAGAACTCTTCCTGGTCCTGAGGTTGGGAAGTACCTTTATCAGAAGGGAATGAGGGGAGGGTCTTCTCTAGGCCCACTTAATCTGAGGCCTCTGTCTTTGTCCCACGGGGTACCAGAAAGATGGCCCCATCAGCAGCCTGTTGGAGTACATATTCCTCCGGTGAATAACTGTTGCCAGATTCATCCCGAAGATGCTGGAAAATGTCGTGGTACAGCTCTGCCAGCTGTTGTCGCATGACCTCCAGAGTACGGTCGGCTTCCCCTCGTGCTCTAAGAAGCCGCTCTCTTTCGCTCCCCAGCCGCTCCAGCTCCCGCTCTAGCTGCACAATGGTTTCCAGTTTTCTCTTGCGACAATTCTGGGCTGCCACCTTGTTCTTGCCCCGCCGTCGAATGTCCCGTACTAGAGCCAGCTGGCTCTCTGTTAACGGGTACTGTGCCAACAATTCATTAAAGTCATCTACAGGCAAGTTGACGATCTTGTCCGTAGGGAAGGGAATCTTCATGGCCAGTGCCCGCCGCTCATCCCGACTCCCCGCCTCCCCCCTGACAGTGGGCTTAGCCCGCACAGGGCCAGAGGATGACTCTAAGGCCAAGGGTATCTCGGTGGGTGGCAAAGTATAGTTTGGGTGGGCCAAGGAGTTGGGCATATGGGAGTAAGGGTACTCCACTGGATACATGTCCACATACTCATTCCTCCGTCTTCCAGCCTCTGCACCCTCTAGCTCAAGAGATTCCGCATCACTGTAGTTGAGGGATAATCCCGAGTCAGATTCTGGGTCTTCTTGGGGCTTGGGTGGCCCCACTGGCAGCCCAATGTCTAGAAGAGCTAAGGGGTCTGGGAGGGGCTCATTCAGCAGTCCTGAAAGGGTAAGGGGCTTTGACACTGGGATAGCCATGTTGCCATAAGAGTATGGGAGGTCTGGGACAGGGGGAGTGGATGTTGGGAGCTCATAAGGTGGTAGGGGTAGTGAGAAGCCTGTATCTGGGTGAACTGAACAGGGGCAGTATGTTGGTGGTAGTGGTCCAGAGTATGGGGTGGGTACTTGGGGCTCAAAGGATGGCTCACTTGGAACATTTAGACCCTGCAAAGAAAGATACAAAAAAGGTTAGAAGATGGGCTGAGACGGGTGGTGGTGATGCACACCTTTAACCCCAGCACTCAAGCAAAGGCAGGTCGATCTTCCAAATTCCAGGACAGCCTGTTGGCATGGAGGCACAGGCTTATAATACCACCATTTGAGATGTGGAAACAGGAGGGTCAGGAGTGTTAAGGTCAGTCTTGGCTAAATAGCAAGTACAAGACCAGCCTGTATTGTGTGAAACCCTGTTTCAAAAAATCGAGAGTGAGGCTGAAGAGTTGGCTAATTGGTTAAGAGCAGTAGCTTCGCCGCAAGAGATGGCAGCTCATACCTGTCTATAACTCCATTTTCAAAAGATCCAACACCTTCACACAGACACGCATGCAAAACACAAATGCACATGAAATAAAAAAAAATAAAATCAAGAGGTCCTTAATCCAAGCACTCAGAGGGCAGGAGCAGGTGTATCTCAGAGTTCAAGGCCATCCTGTATATATTGCAAACTCCAGGGCTACATAGTGAGTCCCTGTCTGGGAAAAAGAAAGAAGCTAGGCATGGTGGCACGCATCTTTAATCTCAGCACTAGAGAGGCAGAGGCAGCCAGCTCTCTTGAGTTCAAGGCCACGCTGCTCTACAGAATGAGTTCCAGGATAGTAATGGTTACGCAGAGAAACCCTGTCTCAGGAAAAAAAAAGAGAGAAAAGAAAAAAAAAAAGAAAGAAAAGAAAAAGTAGGGAGGATGAGGAGGAAGAGCAGTTTCAGCAGGAATAAAAGTCTCTGTGGTGAGACCTCAGAGGAGACCTCACACTCAGGTGGTTACAGAGCCTCAGGAGACACTGGGCCAGAAAGCTCCTGGTCCTTTACTCTCTTCAGAACGTTGAAGTCATCCTTATCCAAGATGGACCCTCAGAACCCTTTTCCTGCTGTGGTTATCTAGGGTCAAAGGGTCAAGTTCAGGGCCTCACCATTCTCTGGGTGTCCAGCAGAGGGAGCTGGTGTGTGGGAGGAGGGTCTAGGGCAGATCCTGAGGACACCAGGCCTGAGGTGGGGGCAGGCACAGAGCCCAGGTGCAGTGAGAACACATGTTACAAACAAGGCCCCCAAGCCCAGCTGAGGACAAAGGCATCATTGTTAGACCAACAGACATCTCTTTGTCCAGCATTTAGGAGAGGACCCCAGCATAGTCTGACTCCCCTTTCTGAGGCCCTTTAACTAAAGTTCTGCTACCTGGAGGAAAAGAGCACGTTGCTAAGGGTGAGGGGTGATAATGAGGGAAGATGGGCAGTGCTGGAAGAGAGGCAGATCAGATGAGAAGAAAATAAAAAGAGAGGGGAAGAGAATAGGGCATAGAAGGGTGAACAGCGCAGCTGGGCATGAGCCCACACCCCTAACCAGATCCTTCCCTTCACACCCCACCCCAAATTCCTCATTGTCCCCCTCTACTCTCTGTTTCTGCAGTGCCCACCCCATACTCACCTGTAGCTCAGTAATGGACATGATCTCTTGCCAAGTCAATTCCATCTCACCCAGCTCCCCAACAGGCAGCTGTGACAACCTGTTCCTGTTCTGCTGGGGAGGACACGGGGGCATCCTACTGTGCCGGCTGCTGGCCCTGGTTCCCCCAAAGTTCAAAGAGCTCCAGCAACCTGTGTGGAAGGAAGGAAGAGTTAGAGCTGCTTCTGCCGGATGGAAAGTTTGTTCTGTCCCTGTGCAGGATTCCAAAAGAGAGCAATGTCAGGTAGTCCACTCGTGCCAGGACCATCAACCAACCATCCCATGAACTGGAAAGTTTTGGGTTTTTTCTCTGTGACAGTTTCTCTGTGAAACAGTCCTGGCTCTACTGGAACTCACTTTGTAGTGAATCCTAGCCTCGAACTCACAGCCTCCCGAGTGCTGGGATTAAAGGCATGCGCCACCACCACCCAACTGTAAAGTTCTTTTCTGTGGCATACTCTCTACCTCACCTGCTCTGGCCATAGTCCTCTGGGTACACAGTAGGCATCTTTACTTTTTCTCAGACAAGATGTCTTCTCTTACTCCCTAGAAACGGTGTTCCTGTTCAGAGATAAAGATCCAGTCTTCTGAGGTTTTGAGATTGAGGTTTAGTTTTCCATTCTGGAGGAAAACATCAAGAGTCACTGATGCCTTCCTTTTGGGTCCTCAGTTTTGTTGTTTGAAGCAGGGTCTCACTATGTAACCCTGGCTATCCTGGAACTCGCCCTGTAGTCCAGGCTGACCTCCAATTCACAGAGATCCACCTGTCTCTGCCTTCTGAGTGCTGGGATTAGAAGAGTGAGGAGCCATGCCAAGCATTTCAGTCCTTTTCTTTCTTCCCAAGATGTGAGTGAGTGCTTGGGGATCCCCAAGGAGTGTGTTGTGGGAAGCACAGGCAGACAGCCCCTCCCCTTGTCTTAGATAGGGCCCAGGCCTGCTGGTGATAGCAGCCCTGCCCTCTACTCCCATACTTACTCTGGGCTCCCCTGCCTGGGCCAGATAAGAGGTTTATCAGCAGCAGGCAGCAGTGGGCAGCAGAGGCAGAGGAGGAATGGGCTCCAGGAGACACTAGACCTCTACCCTGTATCCCAACCAGGTCATTGGACCATGCCCCACCCCATATGACCATGGTTCCTTTCTCTTCCAAGGTCAACACACAGCAAAGACTTAGCAAGCACTTGTCAAGAACTGTGCTGGCATTTTATAAGCATAGTACATCAGACTGGGCTTCACAAAGACCTTGCAAGAGGTAGGAGGCAGACACCGAAGCCTAAGCTGACAGGCGGCAGGTTGGAACCTGACCATATCCCTTGCTGCTTTCTAGGCCCCTTTAGTTCCCTGGGTGTAAGCTGTCCACAACCCATACCTCAATGGGCAGTCTACCTCAGCAAGTTCCCATGGTATCTCAGACCCTTTTCTCTTCTGGGAACTGTCTTTGGGGCTCTCAAGCACTGCCTATCCTTCAGTCCATTTTTTTAATCTGGGCTCTAGCTTCAGTTCTGCTACAAAGCAGTAGTGTGGTAGTTGGGCAAGTCACCTAACCTAACTCCCAATTATAAGCCAGGGAGTTAGACAAACGGAAGAATTCCTCATCTTCTCTTGGTCCACGCCTCTCTTCACCCTATTTCCATATTCCCCAATACCCATCTCTATCTGAATCCGTTGTTTCTGTGTCCAACAGTAGATTCCAAGTAGACTTGGCAAGGTTCTCCTGATCCGTAACGGCACAGCATGTCCACGCATGCACGTCCACACTACACACCATATAAATAAAGATCAGAGGCTGGGGCTGGATGACCTCGAGTTGTATTGTATAATTTTACATCACCCACCACAAGAATAGCCCATTCCTGCTTTTCATTATGGAAACCCCTCTTGAACCTACCACAAAATATGTACAGCTACTACAAGTGTCTTTTTCACAGCTGATCTGCCTGAGGCCCAGCCTCCACCCTCTTGCCAGAATGCCATCCTCAGAAATGGGAGTTGGTATAGGCACAGGCCTTTGACCAATGGGTAGAATGGGTGGGGTGTTTATGTCTGTCCAGGCCAGGATGCCATTTCAACACCGGAACTCCACCCTCCCCACCCAGGTTCTGGCGGAAATTGCCCAAAGACAGGGTGAACGAAGAAGGACTTTGGGGTGGGCAGGGACTACGACTATTGCCTCATAGTTCTTCACCCACTCTACCCCTCTGTCTCTCCTTTCTTCCTGAGTCTGAATCTGAGGAGCAACACAAAGATCTTGCCCTAGAAGGCAAGGTTCTCTACTCTTCCAGATGCATGACTTTGGACAAATTGTGTCACAGTCTCCGGGTAAATGAAGGCAGAACTAGAGAACCTCATGCTATGCGAGGGAAAAGACGGCGTCTCGTCTGAGCCATAAACCTTACTATGCACCACATTCACCTGGGGTATGTGGAAACATTCCTGAAGGTCATCCAGGAATTGAATTCATGTGCAGGCACCTAAGAACAAGCATTTCAACATATGTCCAGGACATTTTCACACAAAGGCCAATCTTGCCTCAAGAAACACAGAATATGCAAGAGAGAACACAAAGTTAGAAGGGAACTGCAAATGACCTATAGTCTCCACCTAACTGCAGACCCCAGGCAAGGCTGATACCTGGTGGCACCTAGCTATCAATCCTTTCCCATGAAGACCTGGAGGTGGCTCTCCTCTCTGTACTTGAGCTTATAAAACAGAGATAGGGTAGAGGGGGCAGGAAGAGGCTAGAGGCTGGGCAGTGGTTCATAAGGAAATCACTGAACCATCACTTGCACCAGGCACAGGACCTCTGGGTCTTGGAAGCTTGCCTTTCAGAGGAGCAGCAAACTTGCAGCCACTAGGAGAGACCAGGAATCAAACATGTTCAAATAGAACACCAAAGAGGGTACTGAAAAGAGATAAGGAATGTGGGCTAGGCTTCAAGGGGCGCTTGTTTTTAGCAAAAGCAGCTCTTGTTTTACAGTTTAGCCCTCATCTTCAGGTCATACAATAACTGAATCCACTGGGCTGGTTATTCTCTTTAGTCTTCAGTGGTGTGGATCAGGTAGAATTTGAAGTAACCACAGAAACTAACCTACATCCATCCTTCTGTCCTTCCTTCCCCTTTCATCCTGGTGGTCCTACCCACTTTCCTCTTTCTTCCCCCTTCTCTCTTCCTCCCTCCCCCTCCTCTTTCCCTTCCTCTTGACCTCTCTCCAGAACACCCCAGAACCTTGACTATGCCCCGCCAGCACTCTACTACTAAGATACATCCCTAGAATTCTCCAAAGATCTTCTCGTGATCTCTAGGACTTCACAGAATATAAGCTTTCTGACTACGGATTCAGGATCATTTGGAGAAAGAGGGAGGGAAGACATTTTACCTTTCACTGCTAGCCCAGGACTTTTAACTTCTTTGATAGGGAGCTTGCCCAAGGGTACTTTATGAAGGCTCATTAGGTTACTCCTCCTCTCCTGGTGTCAACACAAACAATGGAAGGATTGGAGAGATATGAGTAAAATTTGGAGTGTAAATTAGCAGGTAAGCAACCTAGTTACAAAGATTAAAGGAAATTTCCCAAAAGGGAGAGGCACACATGTGAAAGAGAGAAATCAATAGAATGAACAGGGAAGAAAAAAACGATTTGAGCCAGGAAAGCTTAGTCCCCTGGACACATCCATGACTCACATGATGCTTGGGAACAAGAAAAAGGGAGCAAATTTCTGCTCTCCTGTGACTTTATCCCTCGAACTCAAACTCTGGTTCTTTAGAAAAAAATGGATAAAGGCTGCATCCAGCAGATCTGGTAGCTCTGTCTCCCACAGCATCTCAACCTGCAGCTACAAGCAGCCAAGAATTCCCACAGAAGCTTCTACACTCGGTTGGACACTCTCTTTTTTGCAGATCCAGCTTAGCTCCACTGACCCAGGACTGGAGAGGAAGGGAAGCAACCAGCAAGAACTCAGCTCCTTTCAGACAACCACCCCACCTCTGCTATAGCAAGACTTCTCAGATGTTCAGATATCCAATATCTACAGTTTCTATGCTTGCCGCAAATGCAAATCTCAGATGGCTGGAGCTACAGAATGCAGTGGGGAAGGGGACATGGTGGCACCATATTATTGAAGCCTACTAGCTCCCCTCGACAGACAACAGGCCAATGGAAGAATTCCTTCTAATTACTCCCCTGCTCCTCCAGGGTGCCTCGAGAAAGCACTCTGTGCTCCCCATCCTCAACCTCCCACCCCAAGGATCCCAAAACAGACAGAACGCATCCAAAGTTATCAATTTCCTACGCCAGGGCCGGTCTAGGAAGATGTCTTAGGAACATTCAGACAGAAAGTTAAGTATTCCTCCTTGTATCTTCTCCACCTGCCCAGCCTCCCTCCTCAGATGCCACTGAGGGCTCCCTCCCCCTACTCGCCTTTCAGGCACCTGTGGCGGATTCCAAGACCGGCAGGAGAGAGGTGAGGCTGCGGGTACTGTCCCTGGAAGGCTGGGTCAGGGCTGACACCTCCAGGGCGCTGAGCGCTGCCTCTGAGCGCCGCCAAGGGCCGAGCCCCGCCCCCGGGCCATGGCTGGGCAAGGAACACCGGTTAGCTCCGGGAGAAGCTGGGACACCGGCGGAGGTCTCTCCGAAGCTCTCGGCCTGAGTTAGCAGTTCTTCCAGTTCTTCTCCAACCCTTCCCTTTCCCCGTGGCCCTCCTCTCCTTCTGCCCCTTCTGGCCAAGAGAGGAAACTTGAGCCCGGTGTGGTTTCTGCCTGCACCCCGCCCCCCCAATCCACACACCACCACCACCACCACCCAACCCCCGCCTCTCTAGGGCCACGGGGGCACCCGGGGCTCACAGACTCCGGGCTGTCTCCAACAGGTCCAGGACTGTGCGCTCCCTGTCCGGGCTGACTTCCCAGTCGATGCTCCACTCACAAGCGACCCCTAAGTTTAAATACAGTCATCAGCCTCCTCCTTTTCCCAGGTGATGGCTCTAAATGACAGATAGGGAAACTGAGTAAGGCAGAGGGCAGCAGACAGTGAGGATCAGGTGTCTGAGTCCAATTTGCTTAGGGCAACAACCTTCACTTCTAGAAAGCCTGGGCTCTAAGAGAGTTATTTTGAGGATGAGGGACTACTGACTGCTTAGAGTGACCCTTTAATGTGCAGTCTGCCTCTCCCTAGCCTCAGATGCTCTAGGACAAAGGCTTCTTTTTCAGTCACATTTATTTACTTAATGCCAATGTTTATGGAGGTTTTGGGGGAGGGGTTCTTAGGTGAGAGGCTGTCCTGTTGGGTGATCATTAGTCTCCCTAAAAGGGATCCTTCTCTCTTCCAGGCCAGGACACATCGAATTCATCTCCAAATACACAACAGCTTTGTCTCAGGCTTGTGTATCCTCCCAAAAGGCTCTCATTCTTCTGCCTCCAAGTCACAAGACAAATAGTTCTCTCTAGAAGGAAAGTCTACCTTCCTCCCAGTTCTCAGTTGTTTTGTGATAGGGTCTTTTGAGATGGGGTAGCCAAGGCCAGCCCAAAACTGGCTTTGTGGACTAGAAGGATTTTGCTGTCCTAATTGTTCTGCCTTCACATCCAAAGTACTGGAATTATAGGCATGCTCGCTGTGCCCACTTTAGTGACTCTCAGCTCAAAGGAACATGTCTTTTTGGTCTAACTTCAGTTCTGATTGGTGAGCTTACACTTTTTATCTATTGTTCTCCTCACCGATATTCAAGTTAATTTAGAAATATTTACAGAGCAGAAGTAAGCTGGGTGTTTGACAAAAGATCTATAACCCTAGTACTTAGGAGATGGAAGAAACAAGATCAGTAGTTCAAGGCTACCCTTGGCTGCATGGGACCCTGTCTCTGAAAAAACACACACACATACACACACAATAATAAAAATAATTAGGAAACAGATGAGTGCTACCTCAAGACAGTGCTATTACGCTCCTTCTGATAGGATTGTGCTTGCTATTAGAATAATGAGAATATTCTGACCTGGAGTACCAGCAGCTGCTAGGAGCCCTTTAATTTTTTTCCTTTACAAACACCTCTTTTTTGGCCACTCCATTTCTCCCAAGAATCCTCCACAATCTGGCAACACAATCAAGCAAGTAACTGCAGTGTTGCTCTCACAGGAGCCTCCCATCAGGTGTGGCTGAGATTGTTCATGCCCAGTCAGACCCAAGGCTGAGGGCTCTGCATTCCATCCTGATGGCGGGCATTCAGGCCTGTGGAAGGGGAGGCAAACCAATGACTTCACTGCTGAATGTGGGCTCAGGACCTGGTGTGGGACTGAATCTAGGTCACATACATGCATACTTATTTGGGTCCTCATAGGAAATAAGAGGCAGTGACATCAAATATGCAGTTGATTATATAATGATATTGGGTCACAGGTAGTCTGTGAATGCAGTGTGGCATTTTAAATACCTCTATAGGCAACATAGACCTTAGCCTTCATTCATTCATTCAAGAATATTTATTTTCTACTCCAGAAACACAAATATGACTAACATGGTCCGTGTTCTCACACAGATCTATAGCCAGTGGACACAATGTCACATGTCTAAATCCCAGCACTTGGGAGGCAGGGGCAGGAGGACAGATTTCCAGACCAATATGGGCTACATAGTAGTGGTCAGCATGTAACACATAATGAAAGACTGTTTAAAGAAAAAACTGCTGGGTGTGATGGCATATGCTTATATGCCCAGCAGTCATGGAACAAAGGCACATAGCATTGCCAGTTTCCAGACAAGCCTGATCCATACAGTGAGTTCCAAGCCAGTCAGGGCTAC